TAGACATGAAATCAAAAACTACATCTCATAAACCTCTGATTTTGTTTTAGGTGGTCCACATGTCATTAAAAGCTTTAAAATTAGATCAAAGGCGAAACGTTTTCCGTTTTTAGCTAATCGTTTTTGGATTTTTTGCTTTAAATTGTGCCTTAAATTTGACTGACAAGAAGTTCATTAAATAGAGTAGAAAATTAAACTATTCTGTACCCGTCTTTTAGACTTAAACTATTGGCTGATTTCTTAATAATTAGAATACTGCTAGAGCAAAGAAGCCCTAGATCTCTGCTACGTTCAGTGTTCCTCTCTCATTTTCACGCACGGAAAGAAAGGCAGTGTTTCCCTCCGTGCTCTGGCATGCCAGTGGCCTGCTGTGAACACAGATGGGTTCCTTCTTGGGCTGGGGATTCTCTGGGCTTGAGGTCACCTGACAGTCTAATGATCCCAAAGCCTCTCTTATCTGGTCTCTCTTCAATCTCTTTACATCTTTCCTTCTCTACTCTCCCTTTCCCTCAAATAAGAAAAACCAAACAGTCTTATTTGACTTTGGTTTTAAAACTATGCATCATATAAGGTGCTCTGATATGAAGAAAGGGCTCAAATAAAACCACTGAAACCATGATCATTGATCCTACTGCAAGAAAGATTTTAGAAAATCACTCTGGAGCCATGTAGAACTGGGTGCCAGATTTCTACTGAGTGATATAATCACCAGTCCAGTGAATAATAAAAGGAAGTCTTTTCATTTAAAAATGCTTAGATGTAAATATTTTAAGTGTTGTATACTTTTTCTGAACCCAGTAAAACTGGTTTATAAGTCTGGATTATTTGGTGTTACTCATCTTTTAATTAATAGGATAGCCAGTTATTGTCATAGGAAATCAATACTTATCCTAATACCTTGCATTTCACTTAACAGGGTAAATCTTATTATCCTCATTTCGTAAATAATAATTCCCAATGCAGAGGGTTCAAGGTCACTGAACGCTGGTTACAAATGGGGAAGCCTAAAGTAACTGACTCACCAACTACAAAATCGAATGGGAAGGACAAGAATCTAGTTACCCACTCTGATGTGATTTATCATTCATGCACGAGACCAGCATCCCAGTGTGAGTTGGTCAGTAGTCAGGATGTTCCTAGTGGCCTAACAGACTGAATTTTTGTTTTATTAATATTTATTCTGTGATAATACCTAATTCTTTTTATGGCTCTTAATTACTCTGGTAAAGTGTATTTGACATGATAAGGGGGCCTAGATTATAGATCTCTACTTCTCAAGCTATCTGTGAGGAAGGACCAGTTCCCCCCCGCCCAATCAGTCTGAAGCCAACACTTAAGTTCAATAAAATAAAATAAAAATAAATTACTTTAAAAAGAAGTGATCATGCCTTTAGTTTGGTACAGCAGTGTCCCATTGTCCCGAAGGTTTCCAAATGGTTGCTCTCAATTACCTGCAGACTGGTTTTAGGAAAATAATAGCCCTCAGACTAGCCCTTTCTGAATAGCATGTGGACCACTCATGGAAAGTCTTGTCTTAACAGAGGAGTGTTAAGCCACTGTTTGAGAATCACTGCACCACATCGTGCTTACTTCTGTCACAAAGAGCTTCAGGAAAAAAGAACCTTGGCCTGTCTTTTTTCCCTTTGATGATTTCTAACTCCCTTCAACCAGTTTAATCCGAGGATATGCTAAAACGGATGTTCATTTCTAGCGTTGAGCTTTCAGACCCATTCTGTTGCATGAGAAAGTCAACTTTGTTTCTTGCTGCAGTTTCTCTGTTTGTGAACGTGATGGTCTTAGATCATCTTGATGAATGATGGCTTCTTTGGAAAGAACTTTGGTGGCACTTCACATTGCCTGGATCCAGAGGTTACCCTGTCAGGAGGACTCCAGTTGGGAGTATGCAGTGTGGATATCTGTCCCGTCCCCAAGCACATTCGTTTACAAAGAGACTGTGTTGTCCTTCTGTGTAACTATAAATGGATGCTTCTGTTACCACGATAAATGAAGCTTCTCTTTTATCACTCAGGCTACCAGCAAAGTAGCCTGGACCTCTTCCACCAGAAGTAAGAGCTTTAACATAACAGTCTCCTTTTTAGGGGAGACAGCCACTCAGGCCTAAAAAGAGAGTCTGAAAGGCAGTAGATTTAGAAATAGCAGGCATTGTGGCAGGCCAGGAGAAAAGAGAAACCATATGGGACTGCTGTGTACCGTTAGGGGAGGGAAGACAGGAGGGTGATTGAAAGGAGATGCCTCAGGTGGGTTTAATCAGTTGCTGTGGTTTCTAGGGCCTGTTTTAATACCGGAGGCCGCCAGCTCTCTAAGTACATTATCGATATGCAGATTTAGGTGCAGGCTACCTGGGAAGAACCTGAGGAAGAAATGGCTGTACCTTGCTCAGATTGGGTTTCCATAGTGAAAGCCTCCATAAAAGAACAATCAAGCAAATGGATTTGATGGTAAAAGAAAAATAGTGTAGAAGAGGACACTACAGCGCTCTGGAGACCAGCCTTGTTCAGGAGAGGCCCTGCTCCTTGTCCTCACAGACTCAGTGTGCCCGCCTGCAAAATGGCCTCATGGATGACAGTCAGTCACTTACCTCAGCGAACTTGGAGTCAGAATTTCTGGGGTCAAGTCCTGGGCCCCAGTTAGCATCTTCGCAACCTTAAGCCATCTCACCTCCGGTGTCTCATCTGTTACACATTTGCTGAGCTCTGGAAGCTATTATAACGCTCAAATGAGATAATCTCTGCAAAAATCACAATGTATTTCGCTGCTTATTTACAACACCAACACTCTCCTTTACTTCCCTGCCCCAAAAAAGAACGGATGGGAGACCCGTTGCTGTGAGCGACAGCTTTTTTAAAAAAGGCTACCGCCCGGCTTCAGGATCATCCAGAGTCACCGTGTATACACATCATTTGTACGACTGATGTGAACAGACAGCTGTCTGAGAGTGTTTGATCTGAAGGCTAATTTCTCCTGCAAGATGAGGGAGGGACATCTGTTTTTGACTTCATGTAGGACTGGACACCCACACACACACAAAATGATAGAATGCTAGCAATGAGCCTTATAAGGAACACCATGTAACTATTAGAGCTTCTTTTTTAAGTAATTTACATAAATGACAAGTATTGCCTTTTTATCAAATTTTAGGTGTCATGATTCAGACCATACGATTGTGGTCCAGAGAGAATTTCATGCTGCAAGGCGGAGTAGAACGGTCTACGAGAGAGAATTCTCCATTGCAAAAATAGTACAGTTCCCTTTATCCTGTTTCCCCTAATGTAGCATCTTACATGAGCATAGTACGGTTGTTGAAACCAAGAAATTAGGACTGATACCATGCTGTTAACTCATCTAGAGACTTTACTGCAGATTTACCAGCTTTCCCACTAGTGTTCTTTTTCCGGTCTGGGACCCCTGGAATCTCACAGTTATTTGTCCTGTCTTCTTAATCTCCTCCAATCCGCAAGCAATCTTAGGTCTTTGAGTTTCTAAAAATCTTTCCCGACATTTACACGTTGACGAATACTTGCGACTGTTTTGCAGGATGCCTTTTAGTTTTGGTTTGATCTCATGTTTTCTCATAATTAGGTTGAGGTATAAATTTTGGGGCAAGCATGCCACGGAAGCAGCAGTGTGCCCTCCTCAGTATAAATATATACACACACGTTACCTGTCTCACACAAGGTCCGTGATGTTCCTTACCACCGGGTAATGTTTCTTGGACAACTTGGTTAGGGTGATGTCTGCTAGGTTCCTCCATTATAATGTTATGATTTTCCTCTTTGTAATCAATAAGGCTCTTGTCTTGTTGTTTAAGACGATTTTATGCTTCTGTAAAGTGACAGTCAAGGGTTGGAGCCAAGTGCTGTTCACAGAGGGTTGCCGAGTATCCTGTACTGGTGGGAAGAAGCGGTGCCCTAGAAGATGACGGAGTCATTATTTAAGTGTTTGAATAGATTTTTCTCAATCCATACTGAAATGGATTGCCTGACATTATACTGCAGGATTTTTAAGTCCGACCTCCAGGCGTATCTCATAGTTACTAGCAAAAATGAAAGTGTGAAATGCTTTTTAATGTATATTTAACAACACATAGTCTGGTGATTACTGATGTGTATTCTCTGTGGACTCCCTCTGCTATCAGAGGAGAATGTCGAGAGACAACATTTTTACACATTTATTCTATCTAAATCCATCACATGTTTACTTTCTAGATACGTATAGCTGTCATTTATAACAAGATCATAAAAAGTCAAATACGCTAAGTCTAACTCAAACTTTGAATCATAGGATTACAATCAATTTTCAGGAAAGTGCAATCACTGTTTTTCCTTACTCTACCTTATGAAAGAGGCCACTGGTAAATGACACGAAAATATAGCCATTAAAAAGGGGGGGGAAATACAGCATAGCAATGGGGGTATGGGGGGTAATGCTACTCTGTTCATCCTTTTGATTCAGAAATTCACACAATAGCTCCTATCTAAAGGAATTTACATCATTGAACCCAGTGCTGTGCTCAAGAAATAAAATTTGAAAAATGTACTCAATTCCTTCCTATGGTGTCACTGTTTGATAAGGATTAAGGGTCCTTTTTTTTTTTTTTTTTTTTTTGCATACACTGGGTTGCACAGCAAGAGTTCACATCTTGTACTGATATATGCTAAATACTTGAATAGTCTATAGGCCATTGTTGTTAAAGTAGCAGTAGTGTAGGCATTTTAGATCACAGAGCCCCAGTGGTCTACGTTTCGTTTGCTTTGACATTATTCAACTCAATCTGTTTCTCTAACTGTGACTCTAATGACTACATTGGCATGGCAGAAAAGTATGCTTTGTGGATCGACTTGTATTAACCGTGCTTGCATGTTGTTTTCTGCTCTCGGTGTTCCATGAGCAGACAGAGCACCTTCGGTTGCACTGAATAATCATGCACAGTCAATAAGTTTTTGTGTTTGTCTTTGTCATTTCTTTGATGTGGCCTCCAGGATGCTGCCGGCAAGGTGCTGGACCGCTGGGCCATCATGTCTCGAGAAGAGGAAATCATCACCCTTCAGCAGTTTCTGCGGTTCGGAGAAACCAAATCCATTGTGGAGCTGATGGCCATTCAGGAGAAAGAGGGGCAGGCCGTAGCTGTACCGTCTTCAAAGACAGACTCAGACATCAGAACTTTCATTGAGAGTAATAATCGCACCAGGAGTCCCAGCCTCCTTGCCCATCTAGAGAACAGCAACCCTTCCAGCATTCATCACTTTGAAAACATCCCCAACAGCCTCGCCTTCCTGCTGCCATTCCAGTACATAAACCCGGTCTCAGCCCCGCTGCTAGGATTGCCTCCCAATGGGTTGCTGTTGGAGCAACCAGGACTGAGGCTGCGGGAACCCAGCCTTTCGACCCAGAATGAATATAACGAGAGCAGTGAATCTGAAGTGTCTCCCACACCCTACAAGAACGACCAGACGCCCAATAGAAACGCCCTGACCAGCATTACTAATGTGGAGCCCAAAACTGAGCCAGCCTGCGTGTCCCCCATTCAGAATTCCGCCCCGGTCAGTGACCTGTCCAAAACCGAACACCCAAAAAGCTCATTCCGGATCCACCGGATGAGAAGGATGGGGTCAGCGTCTAGGAAAGGAAGAGTGTTCTGTAACGCGTGTGGGAAGACGTTCTATGACAAAGGTACTCTCAAAATCCATTATAACGCTGTTCACCTGAAGATCAAACATCGGTGCACCATCGAAGGTTGCAACATGGTCTTTAGCTCCCTCCGAAGCCGTAACCGTCATAGTGCGAACCCTAACCCTCGCCTTCACATGCCTATGCTAAGGAACAACCGAGACAAAGATTTAATTCGGGCCACATCAGGGGCTGCCACCCCCGTCATAGCAAGTACAAAATCAAATCTCACACTCACAAGCCCTGGCCGGCCCCCAATGGGTTTTACCACTCCCCCACTAGACCCCGTCTTACAGAATCCTCTCCCTAGCCAGCTGGTGTTTTCTGGGCTAAAGACTGTCCAACCAGTTCCTCCGTTTTACAGAAGTTTACTCACTCCGGGGGAAATGGTGAGTCCTCCAACCTCCCTCCCGACCAGTCCCATCATTCCAACCAGTGGTACCATAGAGCAGCTCCCCCCATTACCCTCTGAGCCAGCAGCGCCAGTAGTGATGATGGCCACTCATGAGCCCAGTGCCGACCTGGCGCCCAAGAAGAAGCCCAGGAAGTCCAGCATGCCTGTGAAGATCGAGAAGGAAATTATCGATACTGCCGATGAGTTTGACGATGAAGACGACGACCCCAATGACGGCGGAGCTGTGGTCAACGATGGGAGCCATGACAATCACTGCCACTCGCAGGAGGAAATGAGTCCAGGCATGTCTGTGAAGGACTTTTCTAAGCATAGCAGGACCCGGTGCATTTCAAGGACTGAAATAAGAAGGGCCGACAGCATGACTTCCGAGGACCAAGAACCTGAGCGGGACTACGAGAACGAGTCTGAGTCTTCGGAGCCCAAAGTAGGTGAGGAATCCATGGAAGGGGATGAGCACATGCACGGCGAGGTGAGCGAGAAAGTCCTGGTGAACAGTGAGAGGCCGGACGAGGACCACAGTGAGCCCTCTCACCAGGACGTCATCAAGGTGAAGGAAGAGTTTACAGATCCCACTTATGACATGTTTTACATGAGCCAGTACGGACTGTACAACGGCGGGGCTGCCAGCATGGCAGCCCTGCACGAGAGTTTTACATCATCTCTGAATTACGGCAGCCCTCAAAAGTTCTCCCCGGAAGGTGATCTGTGTTCTAGCCCAGACCCCAAAATCTGTTACGTGTGCAAGAAGAGCTTCAAAAGCTCCTACAGCGTGAAGCTTCACTACAGGAACGTTCACTTGAAAGAGATGCACGTCTGCACGGTGGCTGGCTGCAACGCCGCCTTCCCCTCTCGCCGAAGCAGAGACAGGTCAGTAAATCCCCATTGGCTGCTCCTGCTGGGGGTGGAGGGTGCCAGTCATGGTGGACTTGAAACATTAAAAAAAAAATCCAGCTTAGATGTTTTTTGATGCACTGTAAAGATTGTCCACAGTGATCACGTGACCCCCAAGCTGCCATGCTCGTGAAGGATTGTTGCAGTTGGTGCTTGTTGTGATTAAGCATGCAGAATCGTATGCCATCTTACCCAGTAATGCACGCCATTTTTCTCTGTGCTCTGTGTATGTGTGTATGTGCGTTTCCGTGCATCTAGGTGTGAATAAGTTAACTATGTACACAGTTCCCTGCTTCCCCGTGAACCTTCACTTAGAAGCCGCAGCTTCTGTTATGTATATTTCTGCTTTGCCATGTGGCTTTTTAATTAAATCAATATATTATCTTCATACACACATATTTATCCAATATAGAAACAGAAATTTACGGATGGAAAGAACCATAGGTCCAGGACATCGAGACAGCCTGCATCTCCGTAGGTATAACCAGAAATGTTATCGTTCTTACATGAGTATTTAGTATGTCCTTGAATTAATTCTTTAAGAGTCATAAAAATATCAGAAGAAAACGGGACCAAAGTAATTGTTGATACGGGGAAGTGGTATGGTGATGTGGGTTACTTTAACTTTACCGTGTCTTGGAGCACATCTCTCAAATATAATCTGTCGTGGGAATTAGGCACAGAAGGGGAGGCATGCATATACTTTGAGGATCAGTTAGAATATATTATGTCCAGCCTTCAGATGACATCACACCTTAGCTATGTAGCTGCAGCTCTGAAACAGTTGGGCTTAAACAGAAGCAGCTGGTCCTAAACCTACAGTGGTCTTTTTCAATCATCTTAAAGAAAATGTGATAGAAATGGAATGTGTCAAGGTGGTCAGTGGTGGGGTAACACAGTTGTCCTACCCTTGCGGAGATAAGCTTGTGAACAGATCATTTACATGATACACTAGGCTCAACTAGAGTCACACAGTTGGTTCATCCCATCATATTGGATGTGGTGTTTGGTTTTCCAGTGCCTTTTAAAAATATTTTTGGAGAAAATTTTTTTTACATGGTAAAAGTCGATATATGTAGAAGAAACAAAATGAATCAGGAAGTTTCCAAAGAGCCAGCACCCAAATTCTAGTGTTTATCAGTTGGGCAGAGGTCTCTGACAAAGTAACATGTGATAGAAGTACACTGAAAAGTAGTGATCTGTCACTAGAATGCTCAGCTTTTTTTAAAAGTTCAATCTTTTTAAAAATGAACGTTAAAATATAATTGATTTTCCTTTGTACTAAAATATAAGCGGCCCAATGTATGAAAAGCAAAATCTCTGAGAGAAAACTAAGTGGCTTTCTTTGTGCAACTCAAAACATGCTTTGAAGAGAAATCTCTCTTCTTAAAAATCCCCCGTCCCCCATTTACCTTGTTCTGTAAAAACGTTTTACGGTCACAAAGTTCTTTTCAGTTCCAGGTTATCATCGACAGCCCCAGAATACGGCAGATAAGATAGCTAGACTTTGAATAATAAAATATAATACTATACCCAACCCCCCCCGCCAAGTTTGTGAGCAATATTCATGCTTTTATGTTTGAAATAGTACACTTGTGATAATGAGGTTAATGCATTGGATTTTTTTTTTTTTAACAAAAATAGAAGACTCATGAAAACCTGCATAAAAAATTTATGGAAATGGAGTGTTTGAAGACAAGCCAAAATTTAAGCTTATTTGCATGAATTCCTATCACAGTTTTAGTTGGTTTGCTGAAAATACTGCAAGTCATGACACTGGAATAAATGGCTCTGGGACCAAAGGCTACAACACCCGAAGCTTGGTGCTTTCATTTATGTCAAGCCACTAGAAGACACAAGCGCTTGTGTTTCTGTGGCCTAATGTATAAGGAGGTACTGTGGAGAGGGTGGTTTGTCTGAGGAAAAACATTTAGTGACTGAGTGATAGCAGAAGAATATTTCAATCTCTAATTTTATTTTAAGGATTGAGAGTGTCATGAGTGACCAGCCATACAGAAGTTTAGACCAGTGCCTAGGATAACTAGGATATAGGATATTCTAGGTGAGAAGCATAATACAGATATTCTGCCATGTATGTTCAGTCACAGAAGAGATGGCAGACCTCAGAAGACAGGTGATTACATTTCATATGGGTGAAATAGCACGTCGTGCCTAATCTTTTTAATTCTGGAGTTTTGTCACACACGATAAAAAGCAAATTGAAAAAAAAAAATACTGTACAAGAACGTCTTGATTCTCACATGAAATTTTGCTTTTCAAGAATCTGCAAATCTTTCGACCTCAGGCACGTCGTGCCTAATCTTTTTAATTCTGGAGTTTTGTCACACACGATAAAAAGCAAATTGAAAAAAAAAAATACTGTACAAGAACGTCTTGATTCTCACATGAAATTTTGCTTTTCAAGAATCTGCAAATCTTTTGACCTCAGGCTAAAAACATAGCAAAAACTCTTGGTACTTTTGGTTTTTTTTTTTTTTTTTTTTAAGAAGAGTGTTGATCCTTGTTCAGTTGTCTATTACTTGAGTTAATATATGATGTGAATGTAACTACCACTGAATAAGCAGAAACAGCGATGCCATCGGGGTACCACCCTCTTCGTGCATCTCAGGCAACACAGTTGCACTATAATTGTACTCCTGTTTCAGCCCTTTTTTGTCATTTCATCAACTAATAACGACCCGTGATTTAATCTCCTTATTCGCAAAGCCTCTTGCCTCACATCTTGAATCGACCCCTCAGACATATTATCTTCCTCTTTCTCTTCACTTGTACTGTGTCAGTCACAAGAACCCCAGGAATTTCGTGTCCCTGCTTTTCTCCTCTTCAGTTCACTATGAAGCTAGGATAAGTTGTCTTACCTTTCTCTGAGCCAACATACCTTCCCGAACAGAAATCCTCCTTTGCCTTTAATCCCGCCGTGTCCTCGCCCATTTCTCTCCTCTCCCCAGAGTCTCGACTCATCCATCCTGGACTCCACAACATCTTCTTTGTGCAAATAAAGCATTAGAAGGCATTCTGAGTGGGGACCGAAGTGTGCAAGGCTACCGGGTTTCTGGGATGCCTGTGATAAAACTAACAGAATGACCCTCTTCCTTCTGTCTACGAAAGCAGCCTTCTTGTCTTTGGGCTTAGAACACCTTACAGGCGAGAGAAACAGGTCTTCTTGCGCTTCCTCCAAGATGGTTATACACAAGGGAGTTGCGTGTTTGGTCTCAGATAGGCTGTTAGTAGGATGGAAGGAGAAAGATGTTAAATGCTGTGTTTTAGGTTTGACGGCTAGGTAGCAGAGATTTCCAAGTCTTCGCTTATGGTCTTTCTAGGTTTTTATAAGATCAGATTGAAGGCTTTTTGAAAAGCAAGAATATTCTTTGTGTAAAGTCACAAAAAGGGAGACGAGAGAGAGAGAGAGAGAGAGAGAGAGAGAGAGAGAGAGAGAGAGAGAGAGGCACAAGCAAGGCTTGCGAGGGCTGAGGAGTCCAAGCGCAGTGTCAGAGGTGTCCTTTTCTATACAGCTGTGAATGAGTGTGAGTTTAATAAATCAGAAAGCAAAGAGGACCATTCCACACTAATGACAAAGAGCAAGCTAACATACCCAGACTCCAATTCGTCTGGTCGCTAGGTGGTTGGTAGGGTAATTTTTACTCCAGCTTCTCGAAGTAAAATGTAAATTATTCTCCCTGTAAAGAACTATAGAACTATGAGGCAATGGCTGAAGTATTTAAGTGCATACTGATAACAGTGTGTAGTGTTACACCTGACAGTCTCTAAACGCCCTTACTTCTTTCTTGTTCGTCCCTTGATTTTTCTGCCAAGATGCTGTTCTGTCAGGGAACAGGAAAGCTGACCCTGGGTTTCGAAGTAAACATATGAAAATACTCCCTGGGAAGAAGAAATTCCAACTGGCCTAGAACCTACAGTCTTCATAAAGGACATTTTCTTGAAGACAGTGTCATAGAGTTGGCTGGGCCTGGCTTCCTCTGGTCATTTCTCATCCTCTGTCAGTCATGTTTTTTGATCCCCAGGAGGGCTGAGTGGCCATGGATCAAGCCCGTTTATAAATTACATTTGGTTTTTATTCAGCAAAATAGAAAGCCTTCTGTCCTCTTCCCCCAAATTCCTTATCATTTGCTAATATGATAAAAATCTATTTAATGCCAATCACTAAAACAGACATAAATAGATTTTACACCGGCAGCTATAGCGAAGACGTTGTCCACAGAAACTAGATGGTCTTGCATCTTTGTTCCTCTCTTCCTCTGAGAATAGTGGCCACTAATTGCCACAGTTTATCTTGAATTTTATCAGAAGGGTCAGCATATATGGTTGATCTTCAAGGTGTAGGAAAGGCGATTCAGCCCCATGAATAGATTTAAAAACAAAATAATATTTGGTCAGGGTGATTTATAAATAAATATGAGGCAACCATTGGTGCCAAGGGTGAACCTTCTCTTTGACTGCTAGTTAAATCTGTCCAGATTTAAACATGTAAACTTCTTGATTTGTATGGAGTAAGACATCTGTGTTTGCTTTATTAAAACCTGCTGATGTCTCCAGAACTAAATTCGTTCCTATATAGGCCTCTGGGTAGCTGTACCTATAAAGCAGAGATGTATGGTTTTTGCTTGTCTGATTACCTGGCTTCCAGCCCTGTACAGGTGTGCAGGAATAAATTAACACGAGCTACCTCTGATGAGCCCCTGCATACATTAACAGCAGAGGTGAAGATGCGAAAACATGCTACCTGCCTCCTGTTAGCACCTTCTCAGCAGCGACATCCATTTTTTCCATCATTCTCTGTGTTTGGAAACTTATAGAGAACTTCTCTAAAGAGAGATTTTCAGTAAATACACATGGCTGCACCAGGCAATACCTCCAAGAAATGAGCCACTTAGCACCAACTTAAGATAACTATTAATATATTTGCCCTAATATGATTAGCTGTCAAATAAAGCGTG